ACTCGGGCTACATCGACTCCATGGCTGAACGCTGAAGTTGCCACTACCATAGACCCTTCTTTCTGAGCAAACTATTGATACACTCGCATCTTCTCCTCAATCGGCAAATTCCCATGGAACACCAACCACCCCATTTTTTCTCCCAATTGCTCATCCATATCTCGCCGGTATACAAAAACAATTCCTCTCGTGCCTTGCGGCTTGATTTCCCATTCGTATTTTCTCCCATGCGCAGCACTTGCAACAATTTCTCCTTTCACCACAATATGCTCCATACTCCGCCGAACCGTATTTTCCCGGTGAGCCCATAGCTTGCCTCGCTCAATACTAAACTGATTGCACAACGTTCCATTTGCTGCGGAAACGTTGCATTGAGGAAAACCTTGGGCACCCCGCTTCCAAAGATATTGCAACAATCCTGAAGATGCTCTAACTGCGAAACAGCCGTTGCTCTATCAAAACATGCGCTTCATTCTTGAACACGTCAGGTGATTCAAAAGATTTCACCAGCGACTTGGCCTTTCTGACTTTCTCAAGCCGTAGCATTATTATATCGCACTTCATATAATACTCGTTCTCTTTTTCTAGGCTGAAGAGTTCAACTACAAGCTCCTTTAAACTACTCATATTCACTCTGATATCTTCAAGAAGACTAATAAGCGGGCTAATGATAAACGTATCAAAATGGCAGGTTAAATTTCTTTTCGCTCAAAACAGGGAATTTGAAGTTTACAAACAATTGCGACATTGCACCTGCGACATTGTGCCTAGAGAGTGCGCACTTAACTATGATGAAAACGGGTAATCCCCTAGGTACAGCGAATAGGCTGCGATGGCCATTTTACAGTAGCTTTCATTATTACATTGTAACTGGTCCAGGTTAGCGGAGTAGTATATATTTCTCACACATATAAGTAAAACTGCTTTTAAAATTATTTGCCGACATGGAAGTATAACTAACATTTGCGTTGAACCCTTTACCCTGTTTATGACTTTATATCAACTTTGGAACACTTTTAAATATAAATCATTACAAAAAAACTTAACAAAAAAGTTATACAGCAAGCAGAGGCTTGATAAATCTGTCAAGATCATCTTGGGTTGGTGTAGGCAAGATGTTTTTGGATTGTGAAACCATGAACTTTTCGAAGAATTGGGCAATATTCTTGTAGCTATCAAGGTTGAATTCATTGACCATTGCAATATAACCATCTGGTCTCACAACAACTATAGCACCTTTTTCAGAGTCAATTCCATATTTCTTGTAAGCATCGCAGCGGCCTTCGTGCAAAGTATCTTCAATACCAGCGTAAAGCTTCCAGTAGTTAAGACGTTTCTTAAAGTCGCGAGGAACACATATTCTTGGGAAGTCGAATAATTCATGAGACTCCCGGTCGGATGAATAGATAGATAGAATATCAATAACAGAGTCCTCGTGAGAGTTGACAGGGGTGTATTTAACTCTGAAGCTGTTATCAGAATACACAAAATCCGAAATCATTTTTAAAGTCTCTTTATTAGCTAAATTGCTATAGTTACCACAGAAGTTCAAAATTCTCCAGCGGCCATCACTTAACATATGGTCCGCTATAATAATGGGTCTGGCATCGGAATGTTGAACAACTTTTGCAGAATCAAACCTTCTACCAATTGGAATATTAGTTGCGTATGGCTTAGTGTATATGCAATTTAAATCGACCTCATTGTTGGCCTCTGGTTTGCAGACAAGCTGAGAAGATGCATAGTCAACAACAGTTCCAGAAGCGAATTCATTACCTTTATAAAAAGCCTCGTGAAATTCATTCATATCAACACCTTCTGGTTTTGTTAAAGAATTATTATTTGGAATCAACGGCTTTCCACTAAACATACGGGATAATTTATGATCGAAGTTGATTAATTCCCGAGCAATCTTAATCCTTTCAGTTTCATAGGTTGACAATATGTCTCTTGATGCTAAGTTCTTAGTGACATAGGCTAACTTCCATCCAAGGTTGTAAGTATCCATCATAGAGACATTCATACCTTGACCAGCCTTAGGAGAGTGCGTGTGACAAGCATCTCCGGCAATG